TGGCTGAACTGGTCACCACTGGGTGGCCATGACAGGTGAGACAGAGAGCCTTTCTCAAACCACTTCCTACACAGTCTCCTTTGAGTTGGAGGGTCGGCCACATTGAGTGTCGTTCAAACTCTCAGAGGGTAAATTCAGTGGATCGTTGCTCCAACAGCAGAGTCTGTACCGACGCTCACTTACTAAACAGGTGTAAGATTTTTCATTGTTCCTTATGGTGACACAAAATCATGGTTAGAATGATTTTAATACACATTTTTACAATCTATACCTCCACGTAAACAACAGGTGCGTCACTCAGCCGTGGGCGTGACGTCAGACGGAGTGTGAGTGTGGAGGGAGCGACTTGGGAAAGGCCCAGAGAGTGAACACAGACAGGTCGAGTGAAGGTTAGGCTCTTACGCTATGTCTTCATAGAAGCTCTCCAGCTCGTCTCTCTGCTCGGCCATCGACGAGTCCAGGTCCAAATAGTTTCCATGTGGAGCCAGTTGAAGGGTGCACTCCTCCAGCTGAGACACAGAAAAAAACAACACACGTTAATATTTAAATGATAACATGCGTCTTCATGCATCAGGTCAGGATTAGTGCCAGTATAAACAGATCCTGCAGCAGCTGCTGTCACACAAACAAAACCCACAGAACCTGTTCTTCTAATGAGGTCAACTCCATTTATTAAACTCCATTTGTACGTCAGCAGCTCATTAGCTGGGCGCTGTACTGTATGAAATGTTTCCTCGGCTATTCATCGTCTGGCTCATGAATCATTCAGTAAAAACGTGTCATTAGAAATATGAAAGGGAAACCTGCAGAAACATTTTCAATAAAAACAACCAAGACCTAAAAGAAAGGAAGTTAAAACAATTAAGACACAATGACATATTTCTTGTGTTATGCTAATAAGATGTTCCGTTTATGTCGAGCAAACACACCCACATTGTTATTGTGTCTCACAGGAGCGGCCCAGTTACCAGCTTTTCCATTCATACAGGTGAATACAACTACACGCCTTTATGAATGGAGATCATTTACAACCTGCTGAGCAGAACAGCCGCTCTGTTGTTCAGAGATGCAGCGCTGCATGTTTGACACAGTGAGGCAGGAAACAGCAAATCAGCTTCAAATAATCAAAATGACAATCAGGTTCTTTTTCCTTTTTATTGACATCGTTCTGAAGACCAGACAGAAACGGCAGACGCAACGATCGGTGTGGAGCAGCTTCTCAAGTTCTGACTGGTTCAGAATCAGAGCAGGAAGAGGAAGTCCTGACATCTTAAACCCGTATTAAAGTTCACGTTGGCTTTAATTTACACAATTATGAATATTGGACGTTGCTTTTTAGCCAACCAGAATCAAGGTTCAAAGTGGACGTCATTGTCTGTCGTTGACTTTGGGCTCGACTGATCGGTCGTGTTCCTGAGACATCACATATCACCATCATCAGATTATACATTTTTTGTAAATTGATTTTTTGGGGCTTTTTGCAGGAAATATGGGAGAGAGAGTAGGGCTGCCAGCTCTACCAACTGAGCTAAACCAGCGGCCCCATCATCAGATTACTGTTAGCTGAAATACTTTGGATCATGACCAAATAACAGCAGAACTTCTACAGTCTCAGCTGTACTTTGTATTTGTTGTCATGACAATAACAAACAAACAACCGGCTTTTTACTGCTCTTTTCTTGATGAGTTACAAAGAGCTTTACAGACGTTAAAAAATAAGCCTTGTTGCCGTGATAATATTTAAAACATCTATGGCCGAGATGGAACTAGTAGACATCCTTAGCTAATGTCTTCTATGGAACAATTCCATGCTATGCGTTTTTAGGCCAAAAACCAACACTGAACTTTTGCCTGCTGGCTTTCTAACATTAACATTCATGCATATTTGGTGACAGTCTGGGAGGCATATCACTTAAAAATAATGAAATTATTAGTAATGATCCAATAAAAAAAATTAAGTGAAAACATAGCACAAAGACAAAAAGTGGCTATAGTAGAAACAACAATTCTACGTATCTATCCGCTGGCAGCAGGCTATGCAAGTCGCCCCAGACGTTGCTCTCCCAAGCAATGTTTTCCAGCTCCTCCGATCCTAAGGAGGTCACAGACCAGGAGGGCTTTATAATCCCTCGACTCCTGGGTCTACCTCTAGGATCTCCTCCGAGGGGTACCTCAACTGGCTGGAGCAGCGCCTCAACCGGATCTCCCTCCCGACATCTGAGCGCCTCATCCCGGATCTCCCTCCCGACGTCCGAGCGCCTCAACCCGGATCTCCCTCCCGACGTCCGAGCGCCTCACCCGGATCTCCCTCCCGACGTCCGAGCCCCTCAACCCGGATCTCCCTCCCGACGCCCGAGCTCCTCAACCCGGATCTCCCTCCCGACGCCCGAGCTCCTCAACCCGGATCTCCCTCCCGACGCCCGAGCGCCTCAACCCGGATCTCCCTCCCGACGTCCGAGCGCCTCAACCCGGATCTCCCTCCCGACGTCCGAGCGCCTCAACCCGGATCTCCCTCCCGACGTCCGAGCGCCTCAACCCGGATCTCCCTCCCGACGTCCGAGCGCCTCAACCTATCTCTGAAGCTGAGCCGAGGCACCCTTGACCGGAAAGTGATCCATCATGAAAAAACAAAATGAGCTTACATTTGGAGTTTTCTGATCCCAATGCCAGTGTTAGAAACGCCTTTATAATACTGCAAAAAAATAGTATTGATATCCAAATATCTGATTGACTCTTGTGTTCTACTTTTCTATTCCTATCACTATCAACTGCTCCAGGGCGACCAAAAAAAAAACAACACATTTTTTGGGAAAATTCATCATGTGATGACAAACAAGCAACAAGAGTGCGGTGCTAGCACATTAGGGCTTTGCTCCAAAAATTTAAATGCCGATATATTGGTACATACTTCTTCCCAATACGTTCATCAATGCAGATGTAAGAGAATCTACAGTAAATGGCCCTAAATGCTGGTGCAGCAGTTTAGAAAGACACAGCACCAATAGGCGACAGTAGAAGCCTCACTATATCATGTTTCATTTCAAAACAAACAAGCATGCATGACAAACTCTGTGCATCGCCAGCAAACCTGAGATCAAAGATTACAGGAGCAGGTTGGATTATTGCAAACACCAGGAAGTCGGGAGTTGGACACGAGTCATGCAATGTGCAAGCTTTGCAAAAACAAGATAAAATACGTCCGTCCACACATGACTTCAACAGCTATAGGCTCCCTACACAGGGCCAGTGTGAGCCGTCCTAACCAACACTGATGATGCTTTCAAGTCAAATTCCCCTCAACTTCTAAACGGGCTCAGAAGATCACAAAATAACTTAATGCTTTATTTCTAAAGACTAAAGTGTTTCTTATCTATCAAGTCTTTTTTTGGGCCTTTATTGTAGAGACAGGACAGCGGGTAGAGTTGGAAATCAGGGACACAGACAGTAGGGAATGAGATGCAGGAAAAGAGCAACAGGTCGGATTTGAACCCGGGCCGCCCGCTTGGAGGACTACAGCCTCTAACTTTTCCTGAAATTAAGTTCTGCTGGTTTTGTGCTTTTACATTCTGATTGTCTTCTGATTGTATTCATTATCTAATCCATGCAACACGTCATCTTCTCTTTGCATGAACTCTCCTCCAGACACGATAGCATGCTAGATGTTTCTCTTTTCAGGCAGTAAACAGAGTCGGTGTTTGATTGAACTGAGGACTTCAGATCTGCATGTTTTCCGTCTATTTATAGCCTGGCAGTGGCTGCGTCTTGTAGCTGCTGAACCATGAGTCACGGTCAGGTATGGAGGCTGGATTCAAGGGCAGAAAAACAAAACCGGTCTGATGGTGAAAGTGAGCCGCTGAACAGACTCTGAACCAGAAGAGTCACATTTTTTTCCTGCAGCAGCAGCAGTAGCAGCAGCTCCTCCTGCTCAGACTCCTCTGGAAATATCGACTGTGGAGCCCGAGGTGGCAGAGCACCAACACATGACCTCACCTGCATCTTTTATACTGAATGTGGAGATCATCTGGCAGGATTGTTTGCTAGCTACTTTTCCTTTTACAAACCCTTAAATGTCCCATACAGATACTGTCAAGGGTTCCGTTTTTATGCCCCCAAAAGTATGGAACTCACTGCAAATGTGACAGGCGGTCTCTGTGCTGAGCTAGGCATATCTTTGTGTTGGACGAGCTGATAACGGGTCTTTAAGATGAATTCCTCTTTTTTTCTGCAGGAGCTGCCTTCACATGAGCGGAAGGAAAAGCCTGTTAGCTTCTTATCAACACGATGCTGTTAGTATTGCATCCGTCCGTCCATCTTTCCCTCCATCCAGCTTATCTCCTGTTTACAGGTCCCACCCTTTTCCTCCACAATCACTCTACACAGCCCAACATCAAGGGAGGAAGGAGGTGGGGAGAAAAACATATATATATCTATATATATTTTTTTTAATAGCCAGGGAACACTGCAGAAAAATTCCTAAAATGTTTGGCTTCATTCTGGAGAAGCGAGTCTAAATCACCTCGTTGGATCTCAGCCTGCAGGTCGAGTCTCAGGGGCATGATGGGAACAATTAGAGGGTCAGTGGAGGAATGTAATCTAGTTGGACCAGCGCTCTGCTCTTTATCTGATCCTGGAGATTCCAGCGTGGCTCCGAACGCCTCGCAGCAGCCTGATTTTACTCTCCTTTGTGGAACTAAGATGGACGTTATAAAGCATGTTTTGGAGCAGATCTGAGTAATGCATAAAGAGTCACGTTCCACTCAGGATAATAAGGTTGCCAACCTTTTCAATACAATATCCAATATTTAATATATAATGATCAAAGATATCCAAAAGGTCCAAAGCTCTGGATAAAATACAGATCTTCAGTCACATTTTGAACAAAATACTGGAAGTAACGGATGTTTTTTTAAGTCCATTTGGCGTCTCATAAAGATGCAAAAGTTTCTTTCTCTGACAAACAGCCGGAGAGAACAGAGGATTGTCACTGGCTAAAATGCAAAAATATGTTGTCAACGGTAACCAAAATGTTGCCAATCTATTTTTGCTATTTAGACAGCGTGCAGAAGTTTGCTTGCAATATTTGGTGATTAAAAAAAAAGCCACATTACACTTCAAGATGATTATAGAAGAAGAAAATCAAACAAGGGATGCTGGTGGCCTTGTGGTTATTTTGAACACCCCATGTACAGGGCGGCTGTGGCTCAACCAGTCGGTCGTCTCTCAACCAGAAGGTCAGGGGTTCGATCCCCAGCTGCTGCAGCAACATGTCTGATGTGTCCTTGAGCAAGACAGTCAAGAAGGAAAACTGGTTGTAGTTTACGAGGATTTTCTGGGCTCCAGCTATGGCTCAGTGGTGGGTCGTCTCTCAACTGAATGGGTTCGATCCCCAGCTCCTGCAGCCACATGTCTGATGTGTCCCAGGACACATACTTATGAATGTGTATGAATAGGATTAGTTACTTCTGATGGATACTTTACTCAGCAGCCTCTACCATCAGTGTGTGAATGTGTAGGTGTGACCTGCGGTGTAAAAAGCACTTTGAGTAGTCAGAAGACGAGAAAAACAATATACAAGCTCAAGTCCATTTACAGAGGCTGAAGTCCTCAGAGCAAGCAGCCTGGGCTCAAATCCGACCTGTGGTTTCTTTCCTGTTGTTTTCATGTCATTTTTTGTTTAGTTTTGACAATTGACATTAATGTTCAATGCTTTCAAACATTGTAAAGTGTCGATATATCGGACAGTTTGACAAAAATTAGAAATTACACTGATTTTGGTGCCTATAGGACTTTGTACTATAGGCACTCTGTGGTACTGAAACAGGTATTGTTTGTTTCTGTGTTTGTTGTTTCCTAGGGTCACACTGAAGTTAGAAATTCTGGTATCATGACACCCTGAGATAAGCAGACTGCTGCTTCCATACGAGGAAGAAGAAAAAAACACACGTGTTGAGTAACGATCTCGTCCTCTTAAACAGAAACTCACTGAGACCGTCAAACAGTCAGTGTACTTTAACCTCTGTGATAACGATGGAATGAGTCTCAGTGAAATATGAATGATATGAAACTGTGACCTCACGCCTCTGTAGTATGTTGCTGTGTCACTTCCTATTTGGAAAACTGCACTCAGGACAAAAACAGACGCATCATTAGTCACCCAGTGGACAGGAAACTGACCCAGAGAGCACATTCTTCTTTTATGAACAGCTACAGATACAACAAAGTCACATTTTAAATCTCCAGTTTTCATTCAGAAACATCACTTAACACTTGAAGTTGAAGTTGAAGAGGCAAAGCTGTGAGCTCAGAAGTGTTTAGCCTTCGATTTGCACATTAGTGGGTCTAAATGGCTAATAGGTTAAAAACCTTTTGAATGAATCTAGTGGGCAGCAGTGGAACAGGCTGTAATGGCTGTGACACGATCCTGGGGGAAAATACTACTAACCAGTATGTCCAAAAAAAGTCCTTGTTTATGCCACAGACAGACTCCGGTTGTTATTTTTAGTGTCTGACAACTACAGTCCAACCGATGAATCGTCTGACATTAGCAAATCAAGTGACTATCGGTATAGGCTACTTTTATCTCAGATATGTGCCGATATAACTAGATCTATCATCTTTAACTTTATTATTTACTTTTATTCATAATTGTTAGTTTCTCAGTAAAAATGTGTGTTTCAGTGTACTGATGTTTTCTGGCCACTAAAGGATTTAGTTCAACAACAACAACAAAAAAAAAAACTTAATTAAATTAAAATTCTTCTTCTCAAGTGTGTACATCTATATCAATCGATCTCTAAAGATCGAATATAGATCTAAGAACGACTTCGGCCAATACATCGCTATCAGAATTTTGTCTCTCAAATATCGGTATCTATATCGGGCCACAAACATCGGTCGGGGACTATACAGACAACTTGAGAGACTATCGTCCAACAAGAACAGACATTTTGGTTAAAGAGTAAGTAAGTATAGGTTTAAAAGAATACTGAAGGGGAGTCGTTGCCTAGTGATTAGTTCACACGTCCCACATCCAGAGGCTGTGGTCTTTAAAGCAGGCAGCCCGGGTCTGAATCCGACCTGTGGCTCCTTTCCTGCATGTCCTTCCCTCACTGTCTCGCTCCCTGATTTCTGACTCTATCCACTGTCTCGCCAATAAGCCCAAAAATAAATCTTCAAAAAAGAGAATACTGAAATTTGAACACAAACGAGGCAAAGAGCAACAGAGGGATCCATTTTTATGGCCTCACTAAGTCACGACAACATTCAAACTAGAGATGCTTTCTGTTACTAATTTTCCTTTCTGATACCAACTGAGACTTAGACCTTGGTACTGACTGACACTGAGAACCCCTTTGATACCAGTGTGACACAATACATACCACTGGTGGAATAATAACTCTGATTGCTGACATTACATTACTCTCTTCAGTTTACAGTTTATTACTGTAATTTGTGTCATATCGATGCGTTGACCCTTGAAAGTTAAATCATGTTTGAGACCCCCCTCTATGCCTCTTTAAGTCCAGTGGAGCTTCACATTCAGGTTGCAGGTTTATTGATCATTTTACTCACGTTGGTGGTTTTGTTATGTATTGTGTTTAAGGCTTGTGCAGCACTTTGGTCCACTGTGGTTCTTTTAAATGTCAAAAATGTCAAGCTGTGTGTAAATTAACGTGGACTTGACCTCACTTGACTGTCTTATAGTGCTTACATTCCGCACAAAACTCCTTTAAAAAACTCCTGAAGTTTTCAGGGTGAGCTCACTCAGGCTCTACAGCTTCTCCTGCCAGCCCCCCCCCCAAGTATTTTAACTGCAGAAAAGTGAACGCTGAAGGAAAACATCAGGAGAGTTCACCTCCAGCTGTAGTGAGAGTGGATGGTGAGATTTAATCCCTGTGACCAGTGCATGACCATAGACCGTCTGGACGCCACCACTATGATCTCAGTGCATATAATTAAACTGTTTTCTGTTCTCCAGTATGTTCTTCTCCACTCTTTTGTTGGTATTTAGATTCTTTCAAACTAAACATAGCATTGATATAAAGGCTAATATTCTCATTTTAGCTTAGCTATCAGACAATCTGATTAGGTCATCTTTAATCTGACCAGCACAAACAACAACATAGTAAACAATGGGTCCTTCAAAAGCCTTGGCCCCAACACATCGGCCGGAATATCACCAGTTTATTCAACACCAGTTAAACCAACACAACAGTCGATATACCCAACACCATAAACAACTTTCCATACAGTACGACAATCACAGAGACTATTTGTGCTGGTCAGAATAAAGATGACTTCATCAGATTGTCTGATAACTAGGCTAATCGCTGTCTGCGCAGATGCAACGCTGAAGTGATCACCTTAAAACATGCCCTTGAATCTACCCTACTGTGATTGGCTGAATAGGAAGGAGACATCTGATTGGCTACAGACATTTCCCTGCTGAAAAAAATGCATTTGTGAATTAACCATGGCAGGGGAGTCTCAAAAGTCCCACACACAAATGCAGTGAGGATCACAAATGACAAATAGTTTTAAATATATATGTATATTATACATCTGTGGATTTATTTTACATTTATATAGAATGAAATATATTTGTGTGTGCATTGAAATACATTTGTGAATCCTTCTGTGTGCATTTGTGAATATTGAGACTGATCTAACTCATAGACTCAAGGTTAGGACAAGGTTTGTGTTTCCCTGATTAAGAAGCTCCACTACAGTAATGATGTCTTTGCAGCTCTCTAACAATACTGAGTCCTCCCTAAATCCAGGACATTAAACCTTATCACTCCAGAAATCACTTTTAAAACAGAAATCCGTGGGTTAAAAAAATGTATGTGTACCAAAATGTATATAGTAATTAAAAAGTAGGAAAACAACCTTGTACCAGACTCCATTTAAGAAATCGCCACTTTAAGTTTTAAAAGACAAATCAAGAAAGAAGCGTATTGCTGATAATCTGACTCAATTATTCTAGTAAATTCAGTGACAAACAGCAGCTGAGTGTCATATTACTACTTATATTTCATTTATGTAGATGTTTCCCTTACTAATAAATTACAAAACATTAATACAGACCTTTAAATATTCTATATGGCCACATAGCCAGGCACGAATTAAAACAGCTGATTTTTAAACGGAGTTTGGCGTGGAGTATTTGACCTGCTCACACCTGTGGATTTTTACTCCTGTAGTTTGATTTCCCTGCAGGAGGGATTAATTCATTTCGGTCCACCAAAGTTAGAAAGTGACCCAACATGATGAGTGCTGCAGTCCAGGTAGCGAGTGACCCACCTTCAGAGGCGCCTCCAGCAGCTTGTGTATCCCGGCGATCTGCTCACTGAGCGGCAGGTTCTCCTCCACGTTCACCGTCGGAGGTCTCCGGGGTTCCGGGAAGTTTGTGCAGATAAACGGATCCGTGTCCTCCAGGTACTGGACCCGGCAAACGATGGAGGCCATGTCCGCGTCACCGCAACTCAACTGCGGCTGAAAGTGTCCGTGTGGCTCGGTGTGGAGGCGTCCTGCACTGGAGGAGACTTTTAAATGAAGAAACTCCGCTCCAGGTTTCCCCGCTGCTTTGCCTGCAGACCGGTAACGCTACTTAGTGAGTGTATGCATGCACATCCGGTTGTACCTTTCAAAATAAGTCAAATCAAATCAACTTTATTTATATAGCACTTTAAACACAACATTGATTGATCCAAAGTGCTGAACATTGCAGAAACAAAGCATTAAAAAGTAACAGACAAGAATAACAACAATTAAAAAAAAACAAAAAAAATGGGTTACTGAACATTAAAAGCAATTGAGTACAAATATGTTTTAAGGCGAGTTTTAAAAACACCAATAGTGGGAGAGAGACGGATGTCTGGGGGCAAAGAGTTCCATAGTTTTGGTCCTGCAATAGAAAAGGCCCGATCCCCATTGCACCTTGTCCTCGATCTAGGCGGTGACAGAAGGTTTTGTGCAGATGACCTAAGATCTCTCACCGGTTTATATGGGGATAGGATTTCTGAGAGGTAGGCGGGGACAAGTCCATTTAATGCCTTAAACACAGTCAGAAGTATTTTAAAATCAATCCTGAGCTTGACTGGCAGCCAGTGTAAGGAGGCAAGAACAGACTGCTCCACAAGCCATTGTTACCAAATGATCCAAAAGGCGGCAAGTACGGTGGCCCTGATAATCAACTGCACACACACACACACACACACACACACACACACACACAAATCACTGAATGCATAAAATATTCAACTAAAGCAAAATATTTAATGAAACATAAAAAAAAATTGCACAAAACGCCTCAAGTGGGCGGCATGGGCTCGGTCCCGACCTTTGCCCCCCCGCCTGTCACATGTTATTCCCCACTCTCTCTCCCTGATTTCTGACTATCCACTCTCTTATCTGAGAAATTAAGGCATAAAAAGCCCCAAATAAACCTTTTAATAATAAACATAGGCTACTTGTTTTGATAATAGGCTGTTAAATGCTGTTGTTTTAAAGGGGACATGTTATGAAAAATATGTTTTGAACATATAATTGGGTAACCTGAGTGTCTACCGACCCACACAATGTGAAATAAACCCATCCAGTCCTTTGTTTGTGGTCTGCATAAATCTTACAACACAGAGAAAAATGCTCCGTTTCAAATTTGCTCAACTTGTGATGTCACAGTGGGATTCTGGTAAAAACAAATAATACCCTCCCCTCCCCTGGTATCTCCACCCATGGACTCCACCCCCATCTGAATAACTTTTAGGAAACATTTAAAAGAATGATTTTGAAGTCATGTTAAATGTTTGAATTTTATTTTGAAGGAGCTATCACAGAGCTTCCGCTTTGACGCCGAGCGACTTGACTGTGGGAGTCGCACGAGTGACGTCATCCCAGTCCAAATACATTGGGAATGACATAATGAATGGATGTATGGAAACAGTGTGAAGCCGCAGCTGTTCTCAGGTCAGTTTACAGCTCAGCTCGGAGACCTGCTCTTTGTCAGCTAAAAACAACACACGAAGAAGAAATCAGTCATCCAGGGCAACACGAGACAGTGTTTTTATGAGTTGTTTTTAAGAGCTGAGCAGATAATATAACAGCGCCCTCTGGTGGCGTAATAACTACAGTACAAATCTTCAATACAGTAAGATGTATTTACCTAGAAGTATTTTATTTCCGTAGCCTTGAGAAAATGTATAGATTATAAAATTCAACTTTCTTATTTAGCTCCTTTTAACAAAAATAACAGCATTAATGAAGTCTGGAAGTTGGTCTGGTAGCTTGAGAGGTGCAGGTCCACTTCCGGAGCACTGCTGAGGTGTCCTTGAGCAAGCAAGCAAGCAAGAACATGAGAATATTGGCTCAGACATTGAGCCTCTTATATACAAAATGCATTTTGAAAAAGACCCTTTAGGAAGTATGAAATCAATAACACTAAGACACAAGAGCCACTTACAGACAACATCACGATCGTTTGAGGGCTTGAGGGCCTCCTACATGCGACACACACAATCATATGATGGCCTAATATGGTAAAAACATACAACATATAACATTAACAATAAATATGATGTACCAGAGCTTTTAATTTAATGCCTGCTGCCATTGACAAGTATACATTGCAAGCCTAACTATGTTTGGTTTATACATTTTTACATAATTTATACTTTATTAATCCCAGAGGGGAAATTCTGGATTAAAACTTTGCTATTAAGAGATGTGCTTCTCATACACACGGGCCCACGTAACACATGTGCACAAACAGGACCTGTGGACATGCATTAGTGGAGAGATGTCAGAGCGGCGGCTGCTACACCCTGCAACACAAAAATGGAGGCGCAAAGTTGTTGGAGGTTCAGTGCGTTCTCGGGTTACAAGACCAACGTCAATACTTTGGCCGACATTGGGACTTGAACCAGCAACCCTCCAGTTCCCGTTCCAAGTACCCACAGACTGAGCTCCTCCCTCTTCTGGATAAAAATGTTTCTTTGCGATTGTATACCTTTTATATGTTTGATTATTTCGCTTACTCTCTACTCTGACAAAGCAACGGGAGCAACTTGGGGTTAAGTGTCTTGCCCGAGGACACGTCGGACATGTTGCTGCAGGAGCTGGGGATCAAACCCTCGACCTTCCTGTTGAGAGACGACTGACTCTACTAACTGAGCCACAGCTGCCCAACAAAAGATTCAACAAACTCATTTGCATGGCCAGCAGCGTTGTGGGGGCGGAGCTGGATTCTCTGATGGTGGTTTCAGAGAGGAGGATGCTATCAAAGGTTCTTGTCATCTTGGACCCACTCCACGACGGACTGGCAAAACACAGCAGCACATTCAGTGCCCACCCACAATGCACCACAGACCGCCACAGGAGGTCATTCCTGCCTGTGGCCATCAATCTCTAGAACTCCTCTCTTTGCGAGTCAGACAGTCTCAGTCCGGCCCTGGACTTATTTCACTCTCAGAACTGGAAACTTCTCTATTGTATAATTTTTACTTCAACTGTGCGATCTGTCTGTAAACAACAGTGACAGATGGGTGACGTTACAAAGGCCTCGTCCATTTATATTGACAGTCTATGGATTGGCTGCTGCTTTGATTGGGTGTAAGCTTCCCCAACCAACCCACCCACACGCAGGGACATTATGTCTTCATCAGACCTTGAAAAGATTTGTAACTCGGCCACTGGCTTAAAGAAAATAATCAAAAAGGCGTGGGAACACTTTCAGAATCACTCTCCTTCTCGCCCTCTCTTTGATCCCTTTTTCACAATTGTATGCATCTCTTCTCTTACTGGCCTACTTAATATCTCTCAATCTTTGTATTTTATTCAAACTTATTTCTAGCACTTCCTTGTCTTTTAACTCCAGGATTGAAGTGTAAATATAAAATGGTAGTTTTTGGCTGAAAGGGGATTCGTGTATGGGATGGACATTTTCTTTGTATCTCTTACACATTATGCAGACTCTGTACATTTTGTGTTTGTCTATTAAATCAATACAAATGTTCTTGAGTATTCTTTAAATCAGTGTAAACTTGTGTTCTCATGTTGTGTTGATGTAGTTCTGTCATCGTCCAGCAGGTGGAGGTGTTTCTCCACAATCCGCGCTCTGAGAGCTTGCACTGTGATTGCATAAGAAAGTGATGAAACATGCTGAAACACACACACACACACACACACACACGCACACACACACGCACACACGCACACACACACACACACACACACACACACACACACACACACACACACACACACACACACACACAGAGAAGACTTTGGCTGAACTGATAAACTCAGAGTTGTTTTTTTTACTTTTAACTATCAGTCAATTAATCGCTAATAATAACTGAGGAGACCCCGCTCACCCAGGTTTGACTCATTTCCTGTTCCCAAAGCAGCCAATTAGTTACCATGACAACCATAAAAATAATCAGCCACTGCTGTGTGGTTAAAAGTTTAGAAGCCCTTGGGGGCCCCCTACTGGCTGGGGCCCCAGGCAGTTGCCTGCAGTGCCTGTTGAAAAGCAGCGCCTCTACCCTCATGTACAGAGGCTACAATCCTCAAGAGCAGACCGGCGCTCACCAAACAATTTTCTGCAACATTAACAGGAATCTAAAAATAAACAGCAGGAGATGACCCCAGAATTATTTAAAGTGAAATAGAAAACAAGGGAGCCAGCATTGTAGCTCGCTTGATGCCCATTAAGGGCTTTGCATATAAGGATAAGGACCTTTAATCATTTGTTTTTTTTAACTCCAGCCACTCTGCAGAATTATTATTATTATATTTAGCTCATGATGCACAGGGTTGTGGATAGAATCAGAAATCAGGGAGCGAGAGGGTGGGGAACAACATGCGAGAAAGGAGCCACAGGTCGTATTCAAACCTCAGCGCCCTGCAGAATTTTGAATGAGCTAAAGTGGAGATAGACATGACGACGTATTGACTGACAGGCTCCACCTCCTGCCAGTCAGCGGTGTGATGGAGCTGTAAATCTTCCACTGATGGACCAAAGCTGCTCCCAGCGTCTTAAAAAGCCTGCGGACATCACCTAGACTTATACCTAAATGTTATCCTCATGCATGCAACAATTACTGTGCAAAAGCATTTCTGATGTCTGTCTGTTCGGATCTTAAAGGTTGAAACTGAACCTGGACTTCAGAGCCGGCAACATGTTCGGGTTTTCCTCTCTGCAGGGCTGAACGAGGCCAAAAATCACTCAGTGATTCACGGCGTTTCTGAGCCGATGCTACAGGCCACGGTTGCCACGGTTACTGGCTCCAACTCCATCCCAGAGTTTCGACATAGTGAACGTTTGCAGCTGTCCCTGTTGGACGCTCTCGTTCTGCTCCACATGGCTGGACTCCCACACACAGTCACACTGGGACTCCACCAGTTCAACCACAGCCTTCTGTACTGGTGAGCACACACACTCCCAGAGGGGACATCCCGAGGACTCCTGAATAACGAGGAGATGGGCTGTAAAACTTGGAGGTCATAAATCGTTATCGTGCCTCACTGAGAAGTTCCGAATATCTAAAAGTGAGGACAAGGAATGAGGAAAGGAGATGAGGAGGTAGTAGAGGAATAG